CTGGATTTTCACGGCTCTTCCCTGACCCCGGTGCAGGTGCCCCACACACCGCAGGGCACAGGGGCCAAAACCGGAAGCCATGGCCGTAGCGTTCTCTCCCAGCCAGCCTGTGTGCAGGTGCCTCCCCGTCCAGATTCTTACAGAGGCTGGTGCTTTCCAAATGAGAGACTCACCTCTCGAGAGAAACTCGTCTTAATTATGTAACACAAAAGGCTCAGGACATAAAGGCAAAGCTGTAAAAGGGCCTTTGATTTTTATACGGCACAGTTCACAGTGACTGGAGCTGCTAACAATGCAAACCCACATCATCTGTGGAGCGTTTGGTGTCCTGAATGCTTTTGAATCGATGTGCTTATTCCTTTTAATGAGCGACCGTGGGCCAAGCTGGGTTAGTGCAGCCCCATTTCACAGACACAAACTGGGGCCCAGAGCAGTCACTTGGGCAGAGACAGACTCTGGGGATTCCTGCCGCTCCCTCTTCCTGCAGGCTCTGTTGCTGCTTCATTGGGGATTCTTGGACACCGTCTTCTTTGAGTTAATTCTCAGGATGCTCTTGGAGAAACACATTTCAAATGATGACAGCCCTTAGCATTTTTTTGCACGCACTTCCCTCGCACCACACACTGTGCTGCAGGCTTTGGAAGTCTTGCAACTTTATACCAACAGGGCTCTGCTCTTTTCCCATCCTGCCGATACAGAAACTGAGGGCTGGAGCCTTAGACAGCCTTAGACGCCAGCACAGCCTCCCACGTGGGAAGAATATTGTTAGAAAATCAAACCCAGAGGGGTCTTAAGGGTGGGACTCCTGTCCTGGCTGGATCTGCCCAGAGAACTACCCTGAGGCACTTTTTTCCTTTCCCTTAATTGATATAATTGTAGTCATTGTCCAACCTTAAACTTGAAAACCTGGTGTCACAGCTGGTGACTTTCGAAGGGGCTGGAGAGAGAGAAGGAAGGAGCAGACTGAGTGGGAAGGACTGGCGGGAGGGAGGGACCTCAGCAGCCCAGCCTGGCCTGCAGCTGGGGCAGGAGGTCAACCGTCCCTTGCTGCCTCTCTCCTCCAAGACTCTGAGCATCTGGGGACATTTCCTTCTCTTGGAACACATTCAGAGTTGAACCTGATACCCTTGCCAGCTGTTTCCCCAAATGCAAAAGAGACAGGCAGCCCCTTTAAGTGACTATTCAGCCAAGGCAAGGCTGGTGATGTCAAGGACTGGTCAGAACTATGTGTCTGAACGAACGGTGGCGAGACCATAATCAGGATGCCAGGAGCTAGATGGCCCACAGCACGCATGTCAGTGTCATATCTGCAGGGGGAGATCACTTCTAGCACCTTCGAACAGCCTGAAATAAGTGAGGCTGCATATGCATCCCCGGCTCCTCTCCAGGAAGGACCACACAGTGTACAGAAAGGCACCTGAGCCTCCCAGTGGGTCCCTGTGCCCGGGCACGCGCCAACCCCCCTCAGCACCTTGTTGATGGTGTAAGCTGGGAAATACGGCAGTAACCTTGTTTGCACTACCTCTCCACGGGAGCGAGACGGGACCGTCAAACTGTCCCCACCAAGACAGCAGAGGAGACGCCTCCTAGATGGGGATCAGAGCCGTGGCCTCAGCCCTCAGCTCCCGAAGGTCTTCCAGTGCAACAGAGTCCATCGAAAGCTCATCACCTGATAACCAGCAAAGAGCAGACAACTTGGTTTTGATTTGCTTTGCTGTTTATATGCAACTAAAACCATTATCTTGATGGTAAAACACAATACAGTGAGGTTCACCAGGAAAAATACACAGAAAAGTTTACAATAAAACGCAATCACATTTTAACTTTCAGTACACCCTGGGCTACTCAGTAGGGGGTGTGGAATCACTCTCCTCAGCCATTATAATGTTGTAGCGAGGGCCAGCAGGGCATGGCGGGCTTGGGCCACAGCCTGTGACACCAGCATCCCATGTGGGTGCAGTTTGAGTGCTGGCTGCTCCACTTCCAATCCAGCTCTCTGCTAAGGTGCCTGAGAAAGCAGTGGAATACGGCTCAAGTCCTTGGGCCCCTGCACCCACATGGGAGACCCGGCAGAAGCTCTTGGCTCCTGGCTACAGCCTGGCCCAGCCCTGACCATGGAGGCCTTTTGGGGAGTGAACCAGTAGATGGAAAACCTCTCTCTGTCTCTAGCTCTCTCTGTAATTCTCTTTCAAGTAAATAAAATAAATCTTAAAAAAGACTAAGTCTGAAAGCAAGAATGCAGGCCGTGGCCTTCATAATTTTTATATTGGCCACACATGAAAATAGCAATACTTTTGATATACAGGATTCAAAAAAATGTCTTATTAGAGTTAATTCTACCTGTTTCTGTTTGGTTTTTGGAATGTGGCTGCTGGAGATTGGAGATTCCATCTGTGGCTCCTGTTACGCTATCGGCCAGAGATGGTCAGTTCCCTCCTGCTGAGCTATCATCATCTCCCAACAGAAGACACCACCTGTGATGGCCTCTCTGCCCTTGTGCTTCTCCTCCAGAAAGGAGCCAAAGGTTCCCCCGGCCCCAGCAGGCAGAATTTTTACCGGAAAGCTCATACAACAGAGGGGGAGGTGGCGGGAGGCATTTTCTCCAAGAGCCCAAAGCAGAGGGAGGTGACCCCTCTGCCGTCCCCCACTCCCTTCAAGAACCAGAGAGAAGTGGGTGCTGGTGCACAGGACCCGGCACAGAAACACAAACAGAAATAAGCACAATAAATGTGAGTCATACACCTTAACCCGGTACGTCCAAAATATCCTCTCACATATAACCAGTGCGAAAATAATCGTGGACGTATCTTATCCTCTTTTTTTGCACACTGAGTTGTCCGTGTACCCTGCATCACCACTCGCACGTGGCCAGTGGCGGCTGCACTGGGCCTCACGGCTCTAGAGAGCATGAAGGTCCCAACAGGGGCAAAAGCAACCGAGCGGCTGCAGGAATCCACGTGTCCACTGCTCAGGAAACCGCGAAGTCACACAACCCTGGGGACGAAAAGACTCCGGATATTTAAACCAAAAAAAGGTCAGTGAGAAAACACTGCCATGCTAAACCACGGTCCTTGTTAAATGGTGTGGGTGTGGGGTTTTCCCTTTTTCTTTATACTTTGCTATTCCTTACAATGGTCCAGAAAAGTATAATCTCTAATACTGACATGGAGACATTCTTGAAATTTAGGATGATTGCAACAATGAACCGTGATGTATTTACTGGGCCACTGTCCGTCTGGCCCTGAGGTCTCCAAGAACATCTGACAACACAGCCACTTGTGGGGTAGGGGAGCTGGTCCCTAGCTAGGCAGGCACTTCCCACACCTTAACCGGGAATGTAAAAGCTACGTGCCAGCAAGGGCTGTAGGAAACTCTTCGCTAAGTCAGCAGCAGAGAAGTGTCAAGTGCATCTGTTTCAGCCGCCTGCCCCGCACCCGCGCCAGACCAAGAGTCCCTGCACAGGCAGCTGGGTGTGGGAGGAAGTGCTCAGACTCGAAAAACAGGTGATCACACGTTCCTTCGGCATGTGCAAAGTATGAATCAGATCCTTGACACAATGCCTGCCTGGGACACACAGGCACGGCTCTACAATGTAGCCCCACCCCTCGTACGCGCAAGCAAACACACATGTATGCATGTGCATGAACACACAGCCTGGAACAGCCATCGAGGTCCAGGGATGCTGCCGCGCTTGTCCACGACGTGTCCATATCCCCGGGAATGTGAGACGTGCAGCAGCAGCTTCAGCACAACCCCAGGGAGCCCCACGCTCGGAGGACGGCAGCCAGGCACGCTGCGGGCGGAAGGTGTGGGGTGCACAGCTGTGTTTGCCAGCTGGGCTCATCACAGACCTCTGCCGAGCATGATTGCAGGTGGGGAGGAGCCATTTCCGGCTTCCGAGATTAAAGTAATGCTGACCCATTTGCCCCAGAAGGCAATGCACTAGATGAGTGACTGCCAAGTGCTGTGGAGGTGGAGGTGGAGGGCAGTGTCCAGTGACCTGGCCTCTCTTAGGGGCAGGAAGATGCTCTGAACTTGGGGTAGCCACAGCTGCACAACTCTGATCACACACAAGCCAGGGAGATGTATGCTTTAAATGAGTTCTAGGAATAGAATCCTATCTCAGTAAAGCTGGAGTTGGTTTAGAAGTAACAAGCTCAGACACGAAAGCAACCCATCCAGTCCCTTTGAGCAAAAAAGGAGGTTTTGGTCGCCTCGGGCTCCGCTTTCCCGGTGGACAGGACAGGAGTGGCCATCCGCTCCCTTATGCTACTGAAGACTCAGGTAGGAGGACCGGGGCCCCCAGAAGGGCTGCTCTGCTCTGCTAAACACCCAGCGTACCCCTAAAGGCAGGCGAGGCAGCCTGCTGAAGGCCATGACCTTTCTCTTCCCCCGACACCTCTGGCCTCATTACAAGTGCCCTGGCCCAAGACTGCTGGAGCATCCTTCCCAGGAACTAAAGGTGAGGTGGACAGGGCAGGCCCGGGGCTCTTTTAGGGATAATGGAAAAAATGCCATCGATTGGATGACGCAGCTAGGAAGAGGGGCATTGCCCTCCACCTCCTACTGCTTTAAGTGACTCCTCCACCGAAACCCCTGGGGAAACAGAGCTGTGGACAGTCACTGGCTTTGAGATGCTTTTGAATTATTTAGGCTCCCTCTGCCTAAATAAATCCAGATTCAAAACCAGATGGCTCTGGACTCCCGAACACGGCCAGGCATCCCCTACCACTCAGCCACCGCAGCCAGCCAGAGGCATTTCAAACTTTCCCAACAGCTTCAGTTGGACGAATTGAAAGAACACAGGGTAGAGAATATGTTTGGAAACAAACAGCTGCCACGCCTCCAACCATTCCTCTCACTGTTTTCCACTTCTCAACACACTGATAGCATGGAGCAGGTGTGCCTAAGCAAGCCGAGATGGAACTCAGCACTCGGGGGAACCTTTGCCGCTGACCCCACACCCCGACACCCCCACGGGAATTTATTCTTGTAAATACCTGGCAGCCTGGAGCTCTTCCGGAACCAGGGGTGGCAGCGTCTGGTCCTGCATGTTGCCAAGTTCTGGAGGTGAGGAGACACACACCTTCCTGTCCCCGGCCGCAGTGGGGTGCTCACGCCTCGGCTGCTCCTCAGCCTGCTGGTGCCCGGCTGGGCTGCCCCCGGGCGAGGTGGCTGCATCCTCCATGGGTTGCACTGAATCAGGGAAGCCTGGGTCTTGACGGCTCCCTGGCAGAGCTGTGTCAGGAGCTGACCTGGCGAGCACCCCTGTAGGACCTGTTTCGGGCAGGTCACCTGAGGCACGTGCCCGTGTCTCACCTGGGCTCAAGATGATGTCACCCACTGCTTCTGCAGCAGGTCCTGCCACTCTGCCAGGCTCCAAGGCAGTGCCCAGCGCTTTCCCAGCTGGCGGCTCTGGGGCACTCTGCTCCCCGGGGACATTCTGCCCTCCTGCGATGCCGGCAGCACCTCCAGGCCTCCTCTCACCTCCAAGTGTGTCCAGGGTCCAGGCCTCATCGCTGGCCTCAGGCCCAGTCAGGACGTCCCCACGGGGAGAAGAGATGTCCGGGGCATGTGTGGAGCTGGGCACGTTGCCTGGACCCTCTGGGCGAGCAGGCTCCTGGGGACCGTCTCCTCTGTGCTGCCTGTCACGGGCAGCTGTCTCCTGGTGCTGCTCTCCGGAAGGAGGTCTATCGGCCACAGCCAAGGCTTCTCTGTGGCTCGTGGGAGCCACCTGCAAGTCAGCAGCTCTCTCCGCACAGGTCCCACGAGAGGAAGGGCCTGAGGCTGCAGCCTGCCCCTCGCTCCCTGACTGGGAGTGAGCCTGGGCTTCCCCAGCCCCCTCTGGCCCCTCGCTTCCCCTCGCTGTGGGTGGGACACCTGTTGTCACCTCCCCCACCCCAGCACCTGGCAGGTTCTGCTCAGAGGCCGGCACCCTGAGACCCAGCAGCTTGTCTGGAGCTGGATCCTGGGGAACCAGAAGGGAAACCTCAGCCAACTCTTGCTTCTTCTCCATGTAGAACCCAGCAGGAAGTGCAGGCAGAGGGGGAATGGCCACACCCTGAGTCCCATCTAGAAGCTTCTCTGGGCTGAGCGCCATGGTGGGGTCCTTGCCCTGCGCAGACTTCTCAGGTCCTGGCTTTCCTGCAGGTGCACTCCGGGGCCGCTCGGAGGCCAGGACGCCCAGCACGGACTGCTCAAAGATCTTGGTGATGTGCTCCCTGAAGTCAGGGAGCCCGGCAATGGCGCTGCTCTGCTTGGAGCTTACGTCCACACCACCTGGCGTGCTCCTCTTCAGGTCGCGGGAGGCTCCTGTCCTCTCCCCGCTGCCCTCCGTCTCTCTCGCTGCCCCGCTTGCACTGGCAGGACACGCTGGGGTCTCACTGGCCTCAGCATCTACACCCGGAGCGGCCGCTGTTCTCTCCTGCCCTGCTGTCTGCTGAGCCTTGGCCGGAAGCAGCAGCCTGTCCAGGTAGGGCACGGAACCCAGGGGGGCCTCAGTGGCTCCAGCTTCGGGGCTTTCGCTGCTGGGTTGCACGTTAGAGACTTCCTCACCTGCAGCTCCTGGTGGCAAGAGGGAGGTGCAGGAGCCAGCAGAGTGTGTCACAGAGATGGCGTCGTCCACGGCAAGCAGGGATCCCCCTGGGGGACAGGCGACTTCGGCAGGAGTTCTGGGGCAGGTCCCCCAGGAGGCAGCTTTCACCCCGCCATCTTCTGCTCCCTTCCCAGCGGCTGCACCATCGATATGTAGATAAGGAGTGTAAGGAGTGTCGGGAGCAGCCTCCACAGGGGGCGCACCCGGCAGGAGCCCCTCAGGGTTGGGCACAGCCTGCTGGGCGGGCGTATCCACTGCACTCCTGGGAGCCCCACGCAGCTCTCCGGCTGGCAGCCAGGCATCCTGGCAGCTGAGCGTGGGCTGCTCAGCCTGGCAGGGCGCACCGAGGGCCAAGGTAGATGCTCCCTCCTGGGGGGTGAGGCAGGGGTCAGTCTGAAGGAAGCTGCCATTGCCAGCATCTTCTCCTGGGTGCTGGGGAGCCCGCTGCACCCCTGGGTCTCCATCAGCATTCCCACTTCTCTCGGCAGCCCCGCCTTCACTGCTTGCTGAGAAACCTCCAGGTAACTTTCCGGCCTCCGTGACGGAGCCCGGAAGCTGCTCCATCTCTAGCCATGGGGCCGGCACTGGCTGCTGCCTGCCTTGCTGGGTTTCACCACACGCAGGCTGAGGGGGCGTGACAGTGGGGCCGGCAGCCACTGGGGCTGGCAAGCAGGGAGCTGCCCCTGGGAGGGTCCCTGAGTCAAGTGCATGAGCGCTGCTGCTTGCCATCTCCGGCTCGCCCAAGCCTGGGAGCCCGGGCCAAGCCAAGGAAGTTTCAGAGACTCCCGCATCCCCGGGACGTGCTTCTTCATGCCGGCCGCCTGCTCTCGAAGCATCGGCCAGGTCCTGCCAGGGCTTGTCCTGCCCCTGCCCAGCCTGGTCATATTCCTTTCCATTCACATCGCCTGCAAGATTGGAGTCTTCCAAGGCGTGCTCTGCAGGAGGCGAGACCCCTGAGGGCTGACCTCTGTCTGCTCCCTCTTGCTCATCTGCCCCCTGCACCAGCAGCTTCTGTTCTATGGGGGCGGCCGACTCTGAGTCCTCTGCAGGAGAAATCTCTGGATCTGCCTTCCTGGGAGATGAACTTGGACCCTGAGACACACTGCCCTCGGGGGGCTCACGTGGGGGGTCTGAGCCAGAAGCCTGCTCCTGTCCTCCGGGAGCAGGTGAGCACGCAGCCCTGCAAGGTTCCACAGGTACAGGTACACGGGGCATCTCGAAGCCTGCATCACCTGGAGAAGTCTCTTTCCCACTGTCGGGCGGGTGGGGCTTCTGTTTGAGCACATCAGAGATCGGAGTTTCTGGGTCCAACTGGGAGGACTCCAGACGGCTTTTAGCAGACTGCGGGGGCCTCTCCGATGTGGCCCCTGTGGTCTGGGTGTTGCCTGAGACGGATGGATCTCCCTGCCCATCTCGCTCCAGGTCAAGTGTGGTGAGTCCAGGGGCCACTGTCGGGTTCTCCCCATCCTGGGGAGGTGGCCCATCAGCATGAACTTCCTGTCCAGCTGCACCGCACCCCAGCCCACGGGGTTGGCCCAGGGGTGCGGTCGGCAAGCCCTCCCTGTCACAGCTGCCCGTCAGCGTGGTTTCTGGAGCGCTCTCCTGGGCCTCGGGTACAACCTCTGCAGCGGGCCTTGCTGCGAAAGCTGGATTCTCAGATTCTAACGCAGATCCTGAGCCTCCCTCGCCCTGAAGGATGTCGGGACATTTGCTCTGTGACCCCGGCTGCTCCCCGATGGCTCCTTCTGAAACAGTGCGCTCAGCAGCTCCATCCAGGGCAGGGCCCTCCTCCTCACGGAATCTGTGCAGCACGGCAGCTGAATGGGCTGCGTGGGTTTCGGCCAGCACCTGCCTCCCTGCCTCTGCTGGTGGGCGCCCAGGCCCTTCTGCCCTTCTGGGTGGCCCGTCTGCGCCTGCGTCTGCGCCTGCACCAGGAAGAGCTCTGCTGTCTGCACCGCCTGTTGCCTTCGGGGCCACATCGTCATCCACCTCCGGATCAGGCTTGCCGTGGAAGGCCTGGGACTCCTGTCCCCCCCAGTGCCCAGGATCCGCCCCACCAGAAGGCTCTGGGGCTTCTTCCCGTGCCCTCGGGTTGGCTCCGGGGGGTCTGCTTGCTTCCTGGGCCCCTGCTGGGCTCTCAGCATCTTCAGGAACCTCAACGCCACCCTTTGGCCCCAGTGGGCTCCTGGAACTTTCGCTTGATGTGCTGGGAGGGGGAGGGGGCGGGGGCGGCCCCCCTGCTGGGACTGTGTGCCTTTGCTCCCTGGTGGAGCACTCCCCCTTCTCCTGGAGGGATGGGACAGGCACGTCCCCAAGGCTCCCTTCTGGATGCCCTTGCTCATTTCCTGGATCGGATGCTTGCTTCTCCGATCCTGCCAACCCTGCGTCCACCAACTCTTCGGCTGGATCTGTAGAAACCGGCAGCTCGGCTCCGGAAACGGGCTCGCTGGCCAACCTGCTGGATGCTCCCGCGGCAGCCGGCAGGGAAGCGAGGCTTGAAGCTGAATGCACTCCCCCTGGCAGGGAGGACTCCACGCTCAGCACCCCTCCTGCAGGCTGGCCTCCTGCGGCCACAGGGACAGCTTCCTCTGGCTCAAGTCCCCCTGTCCCGGTCCGCAAATCACCTTGAGCCGTGCTAGTGTCCAGAGTTTCCGTCCAAGAGCCACCGGCCCCTGCTGCCGGGGCAGGGCTCGGCATGTCCCTGGGCAGCTCTGTGTGTGGCAAGTGGTCCCTGGGTGGCTGCTGGCAGCCTCCCTGGAGCACGGCCTCCCCTTCGGCTTCTCGGGAAGCCCCTGAATTACTCTGAAAGGGGTGGCCCCTCTCGAGGAACTCCAAGCTATCAGCTGGACCCCAAGGTGAGTCCTGCACTTGGCATTTGTCTCCGTCTGAGGCTCTTTGGGAGGGACGTGGTGGGGGCAGGGCCTCTGGTTTGAGGGGCGACTCCTCCCGGCTGGCCGAGCGCTCCGGGGGCAGGGCCTCTGGTTTGAGGGGCGACTCCTCCCGGCTGGCCGGGCACTCCTCGCCTGGCTGGGCTGCAGCAGGTGCCACGCCCTGACTGAACTCTGCACCCTGTGAGCCTGCAGGCCGGTCCCCCTCTGCACACAGCTGGCCCTTCACCGGCTCTCCGGGAGGCACTGGGGGATTTCTAGACGACCGCTCAGCACAGCTGGAGGAAGAGGTCTTCTGTCCCTCTACATCCTCCAGCTCACTCTCTCTCCCAGCGCTGGGGACGATGGCAGCCACGATGTGCGGAGCAGGGCTGTCCCCTTCCAGGGCCAAGGCTGTCCCAGCATCCCCTGGGGCACTCGGGGACGGTCCCCTCCTGGGGAGCTGAGCGAGGGGACCATCTTCAGGTGCTGCTGCTGGCCTGGCAGAGCAACCTTCCGGGGTGCACTCGGCGAACGGCATAGCGGGCCGCTCCTGCTCCCAGGGCAGCGGCGGGCTGGGCAGCGCAGAACCTTCCAGCCCCTTGGCTTCCTGTGGGCGCTTCCTCGGCTCGGTCACCTCTGGGGACGCGATGCAGGGATCCGGGCCGGCGGCACTCTCAGAAGTGGAGCAGGAGCCTCCGCGCCCAGTGCTGCCAACAATGAAAACACTGAATGTTTCACTGGTTCTCACGGAAACCAAGGACAGAGCCACACTGCAGGCAGGCTCGCTCCCAACCCTCCTCCCCAAAAGGCCACCAGGTGCCTCAGCCACAGCCAGAGTCCCCACGCAGCCCTCAGCCTCTACCCCCCAACATAGCCATGCCACATGCCCTCACTTTCTCCAAAAAGAACCAATGCAATGCGTCACAGTCAGTGTGGGACTTGCTATGCTCATCAGTAGTGAATATGGAAACACAATCGTACTTGTCTAAAATGCAAGAAGCCCAGAAAGTTTTTAACAAGAAGAAATCATAAGAGGGTTTTGTTTGTTTGTTTAGTTGTTGCTGATTTTTTTTTCAGATTTATTTGAAGGTCAGAGTTACAGAGAAAGAGGGAGAGATGGACAGAGAGGGATCTTCCATCTAATGGTTCGCTCCTCAGATGGCTGCAATGGCCAGGGCTAGGCCAGGCCAAAGCCAGGAGCCAGGAGCTTCTTCCAAGTCTCCCACATGGCTGGCAGGGACCCAAGGACTTGGGTGTCTTCCACTGCTTTTCCCAGCGCATTAGCAGGGAGTGGATCAGAAGCAGAGCAGTCAGAACACTAACCAGCACCCATATGAGATGCTGGTGTTATAGGCAGTGGCTTAACACACTATGCCACAGCACGCCAGCCCATAACAGGGACCTTGAACCAGTTCTGTAGGGATTACAAGGGGGGCTTGCATGGGGGTCCTTAAGTGTTCAGGAGAGGACACACACTCTGATAAAGCCATGGTTTGAAGGAAGAGCTAATCTTGAAGACAGCTCACTTGCATCTTCGCGTTTAACAAGTGGTGCAGTGAGAGGCACAACCCAGAAATCACTTCTAGCTAGCCAGAGAATTTCTGCACGAGGCCAGTTCGTGAGGCGTATTCAACAAGTCCACGAGAAACATGCGTATCTTTCAACTCCATCTTATGAAGTCTCCTGTCCAGCTGCCGGGCTCTGAATCACCTGTGTATCCGCATTGATCTCAACATGGACATGCTTAGCTGGGCGACATGTGTATAGAAAAAAGTGTGAAGCACACAGGAAACTTAGGTCTGAATTATGGACTTGGTGTAGATAACCAGTTACCCAGTAAGTATAAAATAGCTTATTGCACAGCATACTTGAACCATGTTGCAGACTTCTAGTTTTATTTAAAAAAACACTTTATGGCCAAAATAAAATTTGGAAGATATAGAAAAAAAAATCCCTTTAGCACTTGCCACTTTGTGTTCTAATCAATTTCTTTTCCTCTCTCTATATTTTAAGGGGGTACAATTTTTTGTCATTTCTACACAGCTGTGATTTTGCATACTGACTCCAAGCACATATCAACATTTACTCCAGGTAAAATTAACAGAAGTAGGGATTTTTCTAAGCCTTTTACTACTTTCTTTAGCTATTATAGGGAAGAATAGTAGCAAAGGCAAATGTATGGAAATTTTTTTTTCTTTTGGAGCTGCCTGCTACGTCCGCACCTGTTTACACAGATGCAGACCCACTGAGTTCTGGGTGTGTCCGGAGGAAAGATTCTATGCTCCACGTCCACTCCCCAAATTCCAGCTTCCCACGCAAGGCACACACGTTCCATTATGATGGACGCACACAGCGGGAAGCTGACGTGCATTCCTGTTAAAATTTTTTAAAATATATGCCTGTGTCCCCCCAGATCCATATGTTGACTCCAGTGTGTCAAATGACCCCCAAAATGACTATTTGGAGACAAATAACGGAAATAATGGGGGTTAAACAAAGCTACGGAGGGGAGCCCCCAATCCTCCAGGACGGGTGTCCCCGTAAGGAGAGGAACAGGGGCAGGCGCATGGCACAGCAGCTGAGTCACCACTTGGGGTGCCGGCGTCCCACACCGGAGCACGTGGTTTGGGTCCCAACTCTTCCACTTCCAATCCAGCTCCTGGGAGTGGCAGAGTGCGGCTCAAGCACTTAGACGATAAGCTGTTACCCGGGTCACCTCTCTGAGACTGAGTTCACGTGTGTGGAGCTGAAAAATGTGGTCAAAGTTTCTTTTTAGACTAAACCCCAGTAACCAGCCTGTTTCCTTGAGATTCGTCTCACGACCCCATTGACCTAAACGGGGGTGGGGAGCAGGTGCTGGAAAGTAGCTGAGTCAACGATTGAGAGCCAGGCTGGTTCAGTGGCAAAGACCTAAGGGCTCCAGGCTCCTTCCCAGCGAAAGGCACCCGCGGTGACGGCTCTGGGAGGGTCCCTGCTGTCCGAGTTTGTGTCCGAGCCTCAGAAGGACCCAGGGACCGCGCGTCTCTGTGAGATGAGAAAAGACATTGGCTTCTGCCCGTGGCTTCCTTTCCCTAACTCTTTTCCCACTGCTCCCAAAATAAATGGCAAGTGTTTGGCAGCATTTCCATTTAAAGACCAAAGGAAGAAACTTGATCTGGTGCCTTCTGAATGCCTCCAGAGAGCCTGGGTTGGACAATGTCACATAAAGAATCATTAACTACGAGAGGCTGGGAGAACGGCAGGTGGCTAAGGACAGAGGCACAGGAAAGGAAGGACAGTTGTCCTTGGACACGAAAAACTGTGAGGGAAGCCGGCTGTCGCCCCAGCTTAAGGACTGGAGAGGGCGGCCTGGGGGTGGGGAAGGTGACCTAGGCAGACCCCAGCGGCCTGGAGAGACCAAGGCAGCGAGAGTTCCCAGGGCAGAGAACCAGAGAGGAGAGGGTCGATCGAGAGAACCCTAGAGAGAGGCAGAGCGGTGCTCATCGTGAGCCCGTGTGGACCCCCGAGCCTCGGCACAGACCACCTGCCCGGCTCAGAGGGAGCGGTGCTGGAAGCCCGCACACAGCTGGGAGTGGCTCCAGGCTTCTCCAGCTGGGGCAGCAAACCTCACAGCTCAGGAGGCATCAGGAGAAAGGTTTGTAAGAGTGCATATTTTTCATTTTATTTGAAAGACAGAAAGAATCTTCTATCCTCTGTTTCACCCCCCAAATGCCCTCCAACAGATAGGGTTGGGCCAGGCTGAAGCCAAGAGCCCAGAATTCAATCCAGGTCTCCCCGTGAGCGGCAGTACCTGTGGTTAGCAGGCACTGGTTAGCCATTACCTGTGGTTAGCAGGAAGCTGGAGTCAGGAATGGAGCTGGGACGCGAACCCAGACATTCCAACGTGAGACGCAGGCACGCCAACCGGCACCTTAACTGCTGTGCCCGACGCCCACCCCCAAAAAAGACCTCGCCTCGGTAGGAAAATCCAGCCCTCACCTACACACTGCTCTGTCTACATAACAGAGCGAGACCCACAGGATTAAGCTGTTCCAGATAGCTACACCGCAGAGCAAAGTTCAACAATATTTACAGGAATATGGAAAGATCCAGATCCCCGAAGCTTAAAGCCACAGTCTCTGGCATACGAGAGGCAGGAGAATATGGTCAAGCAAGGAGAGAAAGCTCTAGTCCTCAAAACCGACCCTGAGACGACACACGGGTGACAGGGTCAGTGCACGGGGGAATTTTAAACAGTGTTATTCTGTGTGCTCTGGAGGCTAGAAGAAAGATTAAGCATGGTTCACGCAGACACAAAAGATAGACACATCTCAAACTCCTAGAGATGAAAACTGCAAGGCATAAAGTGAAAAACACACGGGGTGAGAATAAAATGACGGATTAGCCAGCGAAGGGAAATGATGGGCGAATCTGGACAGGGCACCGGAAGCCCCAAACAACATGCAGATGAGAAAACAACGCCCACACAGAGCAACACTGAGCTGTGGGACGAGGCTGAGCAGCCACACAGGTGAGTAATGGGAGCCCCAAAGGAAGGCGAGAGATTAAAAATATATATATGAAGAAACAGTAGCTGGGGCCGGTGCCGTGGCATAGCAGCTAAAGCTGCCACCCGCAGTGCCGGCATCCCATATGGGCACTGGTTCAAGACCTGGCTGCTCCACTTCTGATCCAGCTCTCTGCTGTGGCCTGGGAAAGCAGTAGAAGATGGCTCAAGTCCTTGGGGCCCTGCACCCACGTGGGAGACCTGGAAGAAACTCCTGGCTCCTGGCTTTGGATCAGCACTGCTCTGGCCATTGTGGCCATCTGGGGAGTGAACCAGTGGGTGGAAGACCTTTCTCTCTCTCTCTCTCTGGCTCTGGCTCTAACTCTCTGTAACTCTGCCTATCAAATCAATAAATAAATCTTTTTTTTAAAAAAGGAGAGAATGGCTGAGAAATTTCCAAATATCACGTGAACTAGAAACCCACACATCCAGGAATTGCAACCAACTCCGAGCATAAGAAACAGAGAAGCCCAGGCTGCGGTATGTCGTAACCAAATTGCTTCAAACCAGTGAAAACCACGAAACGACATTCATCTTCTGCTGGAAATAACGCACGCCGGCATCTCGTGGAGCACCAGCTCTAAAATCCGGGAAGAAGGAAGCTGACGCCTGGCACCCTCCACCCAGAGGAAACACTCGGCTCAGTCATGGGGGACATAGCGGCTTCTCAAACACACACAAGCTAAGAGAGTTCGTTGCCAGGAGACCTACGTTTCAAGAAATGTTCATGGAAATCCTTCAAGCAGAAAGAAAAAGAACAGAAATCAAGATTGTCACAAAAGAATAAAAAACACTGGAACTATAACTAAGCAGGTTTACACCTCTTTTACAAGATAGATAAAGCAAAAGCCGGCACTGTGGCGTAGCACGCTGGGCCATGGTCTGCAACACAGGCATCCCATGTGGACACCAGTTTGAGTCCCAGCTGCTCCGCTTCTGCTCCAGCTCCCTGCTAATGCACCTGGGAAAGCAGTGGAGGATGACCCAAGAGCTTGGGCTCCCGCATCCACATGGGAGACCTGGAGAAGCTTCTGGCTCCTCGCTTCAGCCAGGCCCAGCCCAGGCTGCTGTGGCTATTGGGGAGTGAACTAGTAGGTGAAAAATCTCTCTCTCTCTCTCTCTCTCTGTAACTCTGCCTTTCAAGTAAAATACAATTTTTTT